CAGCACTGACACCAATCAACTGGGTCAGCACTGATGTCAATCAACTGGGTCAGCACTGATGTCAATCAACTAGGTCAGAATTGACATCAATCAACTGGGTCAGCACTGACATCAATCAACTGGGTCAGCAATGACATCAATCAACTGGGTCAGCACTGACATCAATCAACTGGGTCAGTACTGACACCAATCAACTGGGTCTGCACTGACACCAATCAACTGGGTCAGCACTGACACCAATCAACTGGGTCTGCACTGACACCAATCAACTGGGTCAGCAATGACACCAATCAACTGGGTCTGCACTGACACCAATCAACCGGGTCTGCACTGACATCAATCAACTGGGTCAGCACTGACATCAATCAACTGGGTCAGTACTGACATCAATCAACTGGGTCAGTACTGACATTAATCAACTGGGTCAGCACTGACGTCAATCAACTGGGTCAGCACTGATGTCAATCAACTGGGTCAGCAATGACACCAATCAACTGGGTCTGCACTGACACCAATCAACTGGGTCAGCAATAACACCAATCAACTGGGTCTGCACTGACACCAATCAACTGGGTCTGCACTGACATCAATCAACTGGGTCAGCACTGACATCAATCAACTGGGTAAGTACTGACATCAATCAACTAGGTCAGTACTGACATTAATCAACTGGGTCAGCACTGACGTCAATCAACTGGGTCAGCACTGATGTCAATCAACTGGGTCAGCAGTGACACCAATCAACTGGGTCAGCAATGACATCAATCAACTGGGTCAGCAATGACACCAATCAACTGGGTCAGCACTGATGTCAATCAACTGGGTCAGCACTGATGTCAATCAACTGGGTCAGCACTGACATCAATCAACTGGGTCAGCTATGACACCAATCAACTGGGTCAGCACTGATGTCAATCAACTGAGTCAGCACTGATGTCAATCAACTGGGTCAGCACTGACATCAATCAAATGGGTCAGCAATGACACCAGTCAACTGGGTCAGCAATGACACCAATCAACTGGGTCAGCAATGACACCAGTCAACTGGGTCTGCACTGACACCAATCAACTGGGTCAGCACTGACACCAATCAACTGGGTCAGCACTGACATCAATCAACTGGGTCAGCACTGACATCAATCAACTGGGTCAGCACTGATGTCAATCAACTGGGTCAGCAGTGACACCAATCAACTGGGTCAGCAATGACATCAATCAACTGGGTCAGCAATGACACCAATCAACTGGGTCAGCACTGATGTCAATCAACTGGGTCAGCACTGATGTCAATCAACTGGGTCAGCACTGACATCAATCAACTGGGTCAGCTATGACACCAATCAACTGGGTCAGCACTGATGTCAATCAACTGAGTCAGCACTGATGTCAATCAACTGGGTCAGCACTGACATCAATCAACTGGGTCAGCAATGACACCAGTCAACTGGGTCAGCAATGACACCAATCAACTGGGTCAGCAATGACACCAGTCAACTGGGTCTGCACTGACACCAATCAACTGGGTCAGCACTGACACCAATCAACTGGGTCAGCACTGACATCAATCAACTGGGTCAGCACTGACATCAATCAACTGGGTCAGCACTGACATCAATCAACTGGGTCAGTACTGACATTAATCAATTGGGTCTGCACTGACATCAATCAACTGGGTCAGCACTGACATCAATTAACTGGGTCAGCACTGATGTCAATCAACTGGGTCAGCACTGACGTCAATCAACTGGGTCAGCACTGATGTCAATCAACTGGGTCAGCACTGAGGTCAATCAACTGGGTCAGCACTGACATCAATCAACTGGGTCAGTACTGACATCAATCAACTGGGTCAGCACTGACATCAGTCAACTGGGTCAGCATTGATGTCAATCAGCTAGGTCAGCACTGATGTCAATCAACTGGGTCAGCACTGACATCAATCAACTGGGTCAGCACTGATGTCAATCAACTGGGTCAGCACTGACATCAATCAACTGGGTCAGCACTGACATCAATCAACTGGGTCAGCACTGATGTCAATCAACTGGGTCAGCACTGACATCAATCAACTGGGTCAGCATTGATGTCAATCAACTGGGTCAGCAGTGACATCAATCAACTGGGTCAGCACTGACATCAATCAGCTGGGTCAGCACTGACATCAGCCAGATCAGGTCTGAAACCCATGTTGCTACATTTTATATTATTATACATAAGTGTAACACTGGTGAATATCAGTTTTTTTTTAGGGTGGGGGGGGGGGGGGGTTGGTGGGTGGGGGGGGGGGGGTGGGGGGGGGGGGGGTTACTTAGAAGCACATAAAAAATGACTGCATATGTGAGAATGAGATACCAAAAATGAATCACTATAAAGATTTTATAACAATATATAATTAACGATTGTAAAAATGTGATTATTTTCTATAGTTTAGTGACAAAATCACAATCAAAATTACTTTTTTTCTCTTCTGGTTGCAAAATAGCACAATAAATATTCTTGTTTTTCTCTTGTTACAAAATAGCATATTAAATATACAAGTTTTATCTTGTTGTAACATAGCACATTTAATACTTCACATTGTTTGTCTATGATTACACTTTGGTTTTAAATGTGTCAATAAAACAATGTGTGGAAACGATCAAGAAAATGTGCAAGTAGAAAAATGTAATCAAATAAATGAGAGAATAAAATATCGAACACAAGGTGGAAGTCTACAGCAGACTTGGACTGACACCAGAAAAACTCAAATCTGCCTGTGTGAAAAAGCACTGCATATTAAAAAGAGATTTAAGATAGGCAGGCGTGTTGTGACAAATCTAGACTGAAACGAAAGGTAGTGTAACAAACTGGACTGAAAGTGAAGGTAATGTAACAAACTGGACTGAACCTGAAAGTAGTGTAACAAACTGGGTAGAAGGAGACTTTGAGAGAGGAAGCTGGGACATGACGGTATAGAATCTGACAATGTGAATATGGCATATAGCTAGAACAGTCTCTTCATGAGAGAACTCTTGGATTCAATTTCTTCTTACATACAGATGACAGAGCAACAAATGCCATAGCTAATTAACTTCCTGCCATATTATATGATAGGGACATACAGATGTTGTTAGGGACACACAGATGGTGTTAGGGACATACAGATGGTGTTAGGGACATATGGATGATGTTAGGGACATACAGATGGTGTAAGGGACACACAGATGGTGTTAGGGACATATGGATGATGTTAGGGACATATAGATGATGTTAGGGACATACAGATGGTGTTAGGGACACAAAGATGATGTTAGGGACATACAGATGGTGTAAGGGACACACAGATGGTGTAAGGGACACACAGATGGTGTAAGGGACACACAGATGGTGTAAGGGACACACAGATGGTGTTAGGGACATATAGATGATGTTAGGGACATACAGATGGTGTTAGGGACACACAGATGATGTTAGGGACATACAGATGGTGTTAGGGACATACAGATGGTGTTAGGGACAAACAGATTGTGTAAGAGACATACAGATGGTGTTAGGGACACACAGATTGTGTAAGAGACATACAGATAGTGTTAGGGACATACAAATAGTGTTAGGGACATACAGATGGTGTTAGGGACATACAGATGGTGTTAGGGACACACAGATTGTGTAAGAGACATACAGATGGTGTTAGGGATATATATATGGTTATAAGGGCATACATATGGTTTTAGGGACATACAAATGGTGTTAGGGTCATATAGATGGTGCTAGGGATATACATATGGTGTTAGGGACACACAGATGGTGTTAGGGACATACAGATTGTGTAAGTGACATACAGATGGTGTTAGGGAAACACAGATGGTGTAAGGGACATACAGATGGTGTTAGGGCATATAGATGGTGTTAGGGACATACAGATGGTGTTAGGGACATACAGATGGTGTTAGGGACATACAGAATGTGTTAGGGCCATACAGATGGTGTTAGGGACATACAGATTGTGTTAGGGATATACAGAATGTGTTAGGGCCATACAGATGGTGTTAGGGACATACATATTGTGTAAGTGACATACAGATGGTGTTAGGGACACACAGATTGTGTAAAGGACATACAGATGGTGTTAGGGACATACAGATGGTGTTAGGAACATGCAGATGGTGTTAGGGACATACAGATGGTGTTAGGGACATACAGATGGTGTTAGGAACATGCAGATGGTGTTAGGGACATACAGATGGTGTTAGGGACATACAGATGGTGTTAGGGACATACAGATGGTGTTAGGAACATGCAGATGGTGTTAGGGACATACAGATGGTATTAGGACACAAAGATTGTTTTAGGGACATACAGTTGGTGTTAGGGACATACAAATGGTATTAGGGACACACAGATGGTGTTAGGGACATACAGATTGCATTATAGACACACAAATGGTATTAGGGACACACAGATGGTGGTAGGGGCATACAGATGTTATTAGGGACATACAGATTGTCTTGGGGACATTGTGTGGCAGAAACACATTAATGGTAAAGACAACTATCAAATACAAGTAACCATTCCACTGCTGCCTTCCTAGATGTTGGTGTGTGGATCTAAGAACTAGTCAGATAAGTGCCACAAACTAGAAGGTCTTGTGTGGATACTACCCTTGCTGATGCAACCAGACATAGTCCTGGCAGTTCCAGATATTCTCTGTGTAACATGTGACATTGTGTGGACTTGGTAGAAATAAACTTCCCTAGAAAAGTATTGTGAAAAGTCAGACAGCTGGGTCTCAGTTTGAAATCAAATGTCCATGACCCCATTCATGCTTCCATTCATCACATTAAATTAAAAACAAAATAACACACAGAAGAATGAAAGATAGACAGCAGAAAAAAACAAACAGAAATAAGGATACAAATAAGCTGAGGAGGAAACAGAAGAAAAAGCATAAGAGAAGAGCTGAAAGACTACATTCACAAAGCAAGTTACTACAAGAGTCGCTTGATAAAAGACATAGTCACCTTGACCTTGCAGCAGACGTAAGGCTGGAACTCTCCAAGCCATCATCATCTGCTGGCTGCAGGAAGTTGGAGGGCACCAAGCCTTGCTGGCCATTGACCTCCCCCGTAAAGAAGCCATCCTCATCCATCTCTCCATAGATCATCACAATATCTCCAGTTTTGAAAGACAGCTCCATCTGGTGAGAGCATTAGTACAACATATATACTGTCACTGTCACGTCACATGTAGAACTGTGTCTGGATATTGTGGCATTAGTACAACATATATACTGTCACTGCCACGTCACATGTAGAACTGTATCTGGATATTGTAGCATTAGTACAACATATAAACTGTCACTGTTACGTCACATGTAGAACTGTAACTGGATATTGTGGCATTAGTACAACAAATATACTGTCACTGTCACGTCACATGTAGAACTGTAACTGGATATTGTGGCATCAGTACAACATATATACTGTCACTGACACATCACATGTAGAACTGTAACTGGAAATTGTGGCATTAGTACAACATATATACTGTCACTGTCACGTCACATGTAGAACAGTAACTGGATATTGTGGCATCAGTACAACATATATACTGTCACTGCCACGTCACATGTAGAACTGTATCTGGATATTGTGGCATTAGTACAACATATATACTGTCACTGTCACGTCACATGTAGAACTGTGTCTGGATATTGTGGCATTAGTACAACATATATACTGTCACTGTCATGTCACATGTAGAACTGTGTCTGGATATTGTGGCATTAGTACAAAATATAAATACTGTCACTGTCATGTCACATGTAGAACTGTATCTGGATATTGTGGCATTAGTACAACATATATACTGTCACGTCACATGTTAAACTGTGTCTGGATATTGTGGCATCAGTACAACATATATACTGTCACTGTCATGTCACATGTAGAACTGTATCTGGATATTATGGCATTAGTACAACATATATACTGTCACTGTCACGTCACATGTTAAACTGTGTCTGGATATTGTGGCATCAGTACAAAATATAAATACTGTCACTGTCATGTCACATGTAGAACTGTGTCTGGATATAGTGGCATCAGTACAACATATATACTGTCACTGTCATGTCACATGTAGAACTGTATCTGGATATTGTGGCATCAGTACAACATATATACTGTGGTCACATCAGTGGCATCAGTACAACATATATACTGTCACTGTCACGTCACATGTTAAACTGTGTCTGGATATAGTGGCATTAGTACAACATATATACTGCCACTGCCACGTCACATGTTAAACTGTGTCTGGATATTGTGGCATCAGTACAACATATATACTGTCACTGTCACGTCACATGTAGAACTGTATCTGGATATTGTGGCATTAGTACAACATATATACTGTCACTGTCAGGTCACATGTTAAACTGTGTCTGGATATAGTGGCATCAGTACAACATATATACTGTTACTGTCACATCACATGTTGAACTGTGTCTGGATATTGTGGCATTAGTACAACATATATACTGTCACTGTCAGGTCACATGTTAAACTGTGTCTGGATATTGTGGCATTAGTACAACATATATACTGTTACTGTCACATCACATGTTGAACTGTGTCTGGATATTGTGGCATTAGTACAACATATATACTGTCACTGCCACGTCACATGTAGAACTGTAACTGGATATTGTGGCATTAGTACAACATATATACTGTCACTGTCACATCACATGTAGAACTGTAACTGGATATTGTGGCATTAGTACAACATATATACTGTCACTGCTACGTCACATGTTGAAGTGTCTGGATATTGTGGCATTAGTACAACATATATACTGTCACTGCCACGTCACATGTAGAACTGTAACTGGATATTGTGGCATCAGTACAACATATATACTGTCACTGTCACATCACATGTAGAACTGTAACTGGATATTGTGGCATCAGTACAACATATATACTGTCACTGTCACATCACATGTAGAACTGTAACTGGATATTGTGGCATCAGTACAACATATATACTGTCACTGCCACGTCACATGTAGAACTGTAACTGGATATTGTGGCATCAGTACAACATATATACTGTCACTGTCACAGCACATGTAGAACTGTAACTGGATATTGTGGCATTAGTACAACATATATACTGTCACTGCCACATCACATGTAGAACTGTAACTGGATATTGTGGCATCAGTACAACAAATATACTGTCACTGCCACATCACATGTAGAACTGTATCTGGATATTGTGGCATTAGTACAACATATATACTGTCACTGTCACATCACATGTTAAACTGTGTCTGGATATAGCGGCATTAGTACAACATATATACTGTCACTGCCACGTAACATGTAGAACTGTGTCTGGATATTGTGGCATTAGTACAACATATATACTGTCACTGTCAGGTCACATGTAGAACTGTAACTGGATATTGTGGCATTAGTACAACATATATACTGTCACTGCCACGTCACATGTAGAACTGCATCTGGATATTGTGGCATTAGTACAACATATATACTGTCACTGTCACATGTTAAACTGTGTCTGGATATAGTGGCATTAGTACAACATATATACTGTCACTGCCACGTCACATGTAGAACTGTAACTGGATATTGTGGCATCAGTACAACATATATACTGTCACTGTCACAGCACATGTAGAACTGTAACTGGATATTGTGGCATTAGTACAACATATATACTGTCACTGCCACATCACATGTAGAACTGTAACTGGATATTGTGGCATCAGTACAACATATATACTGTCACTGTCCTGTCACATGTTGAACTGTGTCTGGATATTGTGGCATTAGTACAACATATATACTGTCACGTCACATGTTAAACTGTGTCTGGATATTGTGGCATCAGTACAACATATAAACTGTCACTGTCATGTCACATGTAGAACTGTATCTGGATATTATGGCATTAGTACAACATATATACTGTCACTGTCACGTCACATGTTAAACTGTGTCTGGATATAGTGGCATCAGTACAACATATATACTGTCACTGTCACGTCACATGTTAAACTGTGTCTGGATATAGTGGCATCAGTACAACATATATACTGTCACTGTCATGTCACATGTAGAACTGTATCTGGATATTGTGGCATCAGTACAACATATATACTGTCACTGTCACGTCACATGTTAAACTGTGTCTGGATATAGTGGCATTAGTACAACATATATACTGCCACTGCCACGTCACATGTTAAACTGTGTCTGGATATTGTGGCATCAGTACAACATATATACTGTCACTGTCACGTCACATGTAGAACTGTATCTGGATATTGTGGCATTAGTACAACATATATACTGTCACTGTCACGTCACATGTTAAACTGTGTCTGGATATAGTGGCATCAGTACAACATATATACTGTCACTGTCATGTCACATGTAGAGCTGTGTCTGGATATTGTGGCATTAGTACAACATATATACTGTCACTGCCACGTCACATGTTAAACTGTGTCTGGATATTGTGGCATTAGTACAACATATATACTGTTACTGTCACATCACATGTTGAACTGCGTCTGGATATTGTGGCATTAGTACAACATATATACTGTCACTGCTACGTCACATGTAGAACTGTAACTGGATATTGTGGCATTAGTACAACATATATACTGTCACTGTCACATCACATGTAGAACTGTAACTGGATATTGTGGCATTAGTACAACATATATACTGTCACTGCCACGTAACATGTTGAACTGTGTCTGGATATTGTGGCATTAGTACAACATATATACTGTCACTGCCACGTCACATGTAGAACTGTAACTGGATATTGTGGCATCAGTACAACATATATACTGTCACTGCCACATCACATGTAGAACTGTAACTGGATATTGTGGCATCAGTACAACAAATATACTGTCACTGCCACATCACATGTAGAACTGTATCTGAATATTGTGGCATTAGTACAACATATATACTGTCACTGTCACATCACATGTTAAACTGTGTCTGGATATAGTGGCATTAGTACAACATATATACTGTCACTGCCACGTAACATGTAGAACTGTGTCTGGATATTGTGGCATTAGTACAACATATATACTGTCACTGTCAGGTCACATGTAGAACTGTAACTGGATATTGTGGCATTAGTACAACATATATACTGTCACTGCCACGTCACATGTAGAACTGCATCTGGATATTGTGGCATTAGTACAACATATATACTGTCACTGTCACATGTTAAACTGTGTCTGGATATAGTGGCATTAGTACAACATATATACTGTCACTGCCACGTCACATGTAGAACTGTAACTGGATATTGTGGCATCAGTACAACATATATACTGTCACTGTCACAGCACATGTAGAACTGTAACTGGATATTGTGGCATTAGTACAACATATATACTGTCACTGCCACATCACATGTAGAACTGTAACTGGATATTGTGGCATCAGTACAACATATATACTGTCACTGTCCTGTCACATGTTGAACTGTGTCTGGATATTGTGGCATTAGTACAACATATACTGTCACTGTCATGTCACATGTAGAACTGTAACTGGATATTGTGGCATCAGTACAACATATATACTGTCACTGTCATGTCACATGTAGAACTGTGTCTGGATATTGTGGCATTAGTACAACATATATACTGGCACGTCACGTCACATGTTGAACTGTGTCTGGATATTGTGGCATTAGTACAACATATATACTGGCACGCCACGTGTAGAACTGTGTCTGTATATTGTGTCATTAGCATCTCTGACAACAGTCTACACACAGAATTCATCAGATTTCTGCACCAAGAAATTGGCTAACATTTAAACCCCAAGAAAGCAGTTTCTCAAACACTGACAGATGTTTGATGACATGAAATCAACAGGTCGTGTCCATTATACATGAAGAACAGCTCTGGTACTGGCTGTCAAGGCATAAGGGCTGGACACAATCAGCATGAATATATAAGTATTTTTTTAAAATGTTAGATATTATTATTGGGGGGGGGGGGGGGGGGGGGGGGGGGGGGGGGGGGGTTAAGAAAGTGATGATGATGTCACTTTCTGTCTGTGCTTGTGCCACCAGACTCCCTGTTCTCATGATCAAAGAGAATGAAAGCAGTTCAGACAGGTGCTTTAGTTTGTATTGGGGAGGGGGGGGGGGGGGGGGGGGTTGACCTGTCTGCACAAAACTCACAGGTTTCGATCCCCTACACTTCTATCAATACTGACCAAGACTCCAAATATTTTCTACCTTCAGATAATTCTAAAGGTTCATTCATCATTTATATTTTTAATTTTTTTATTTTTCAATCTTATGGGATGAAAGGGCTTAAGAAGTATGACTGGATACAGTGTCATACGTCTAGTGTGCTGACACCAACATCCTGACAAACAAGAATGAAGCTTCCCATACAAACATAGTCTCAGGCTGGTTAACCCAATCCAAGCTGGAGTAATTGTTTCCTCTCATGATAATGAAGTTGTCTACTAGATTGTTCTGAATGAAATGCTGACAACTTCTGGACAAAACATGACCAACTATGACCTCATTCCAGCAAGTTGATATGTCTTAGGCTCAATGATAACCTGGTTTCAAACTAACATTCCTCTGTGAAGATCTGAAACTGTGTCGACGATCTAGCAAACCCTTCTAGTTTTGGTTCATGAAGAAAGGGAGGAGAACTGACAATACAGTTTCCATGGGGGCAACGCAGAAGTTGGAAAGGAAATCTCAACATCAACCTCACTGCAAGCACTGTTCACACCAGACTTGACCACTGTTCACACCAGACTTGACCACTGTTCACACCAGACTTGACCATGTTCACACCAGACTTGACCACTGTTCACACCAGACTTGAAAAGATTCACAAACAATAGTTGCAAAATAATGTTTCCTCTATCTGCTTCAATTTTGGATCCTGCGATCACCTGATTGCAAATCTCCACAGTTCACTGTTACTGATTTCATGAAAAGAAACATCTCAGAAATAAAACAGCGTGTTTACTCACAATAACAAACAAATAGCTATCAATAAGGTCATAAACATTAAATGAAATGTAAGGTTACCCTTTGGGAGCATTGATTCACTGCTGCCTGCACAGAATAGAAGTCATCAAATAGATAGAATCATCCTTGTGATGCACAAGGAGTCAACTAAAACATCAAGATGTGGCGACAAGATACTGGCACTGAGCATCACATTGATCATAGTAGTCTTTTCACAGCAACCCACAAGGCAAAGGAAGACAGAGGGGAGAGATGGTGCTGGCGAGAGATGATGCTGGGGAGAGATGATGCTGGGGAGAGATGATGCTGGGGAGAGATGATGCTAAGGAGTGATGATACTGGGGAGAGATGATGCTGGGGAGAGATGATCCTGGGGAGAGATGATGCTGGGGAGAGATGATGCTGGGGAGAGATGATGCTGGGGAGAGATGATGCTGGGGAGAGATGATGCTGGGGAGAGATGATGCTGGGGAGAGATGATGCTGGGGAGAGATGATCCTGGGGAGAGATGATGCTGGGGAGAGATGATCCTGGGGAGAGATGATGCTGGGGAGAGATGATCATGGGGAGAGATGATGCTGGGGAGAGATGATCCTGGGGAGGATGGATGTGAAGGCAACTGCAAGAGATGGCATAGGGTAAGACTTGGTATAAGTTGGTTGAGGGTCTATACTCCACAGGGAACTAAAGAGCAGGAGTGATATCTTTTATGGTGTCAGAGGTAGTGTCTCTCCAGTAGGCAAATGCGGCAGCATTTATTAAAGGAGACATTCCACAATCACATGAGAAATCCACAATCACAGGAGAAATCCACAATCACAGCAGAAAATCCACAATTGCAAAAGAAGATAAAAAATCACAGGAGAAAATTCAGGATGACAAGAGAAGATCTACAATCAAATAGAAGATCCCTAATCACAAGAAAAGATGCACAATTGTAAAAGATCCACAACTGCAGGAGAAGAGCTACAATCACAGGAGAAGATCCACAATCGCAGGAGAGGATCTACAGTCACAGGATAAGATAAAAATCACAAGAGAAAATCCACAATTACAAGAGAAGGTCCACAATCACAGGAGCAAATTCACAATGACAGGAGAAGATCAACAATCACAGGAGAAGATCCCAATAACAACAGAAGATTCACAATCACAATCCTAACAGAAGATCCACAACTGCAAGAGAAGATCCATAATCAAAGGAGAAGATCCATAATAACAGGAAAAGATCCACAATCACAGGAGAAGATTCATAATCATAGGAGAAGATCCATAAACACAGGAGAAGATCCACAATCACAGAAGAAGATCCACAATTACCGCAGAAGATCCCAAATTACAGGAGAAGATCCACAATCACAGAAAAAGAGCCAGTATCACAAGAGAAGATCCACAATCACAGGAAAAGATCCACAGTCACATGAGAAGATCATCAATCATCAAAGAAGATCCATAATTGAACAGAGAAGATCCACAATCTGCTTACTTCAGCATCAACATTGGGAGACAACTCCTGGGGATCGTAATCATACATGGCTATCATCTTCCTCATGACGGGGCCTTGCTGCGGTATCAAGGCCACCCCATTGGGGGTCAGTTGAGCATCATCAGGATGATCATCTATGACTGTTGAATGAGCTGACTCTGAAAGTTCAACAGTTAAACTTTGTAAACAAAGGTGCACCAAGATGTTGGCTCTAGATCTACAATTATCTGAAGAATGAACAATCTGCTTTTCTAATTTCATTCACACACTTGTACAACAAAATCTAAGTGTTTCATAGTCGTTTCATTCCTATATTAGCAAGACAAAATCTATCTGTTTAGTTTAATTAATGCACTACTATGACAAAATCTAGATGTTTAGTTTCAACACAATATTAGCATGACAAAACCTAGGTGTTTAGTTTTATTACAATATTAGGCTCTCCTTCGATTTCCCTGTGTTTATAGTTTCCATCACACACTAGCATGACAAAATCTAGGTGTTTAATAGCATAGTTTTTCTCAACTGCCTTATCTATGTTTGATTATTTCAGTTTCTCTCACCCATATTAACTGTACTTGTTTGTTCTGTGAATGTTTGTCCTAGTTTTTTTTCTTCTGCCTAACCTGTATTTCATTGTCTTAGTTTCTGTTCCGTTTTACCTGTGTTTATCCTAGTTTCTCTTACCTGTGTTTATCCTAGTTTCTCTTACCTGTGCTTATCCTAGTTTCTCTTACCTGTGCTTATCCTAGTTTCTCTTACCTGTGCTTATCCTAGTTTCTCTTACCTGTGCTTATCCTAGTTTCTCTTACCTGTGCTTATCCTAGTTTCTCTTACCTGTGCTTATCCTAGTTTCTCTTACCTGTGCTTATCCTAGTTTCTCTTACCTGTGCTTATCCTAGTTTCTCTTACCTGTGTTTATCATTGGTTTCTCTTACCTGTATTTATCATTGGTTTCTCTTACCTGTATTTATCATTGGTTTCTCTTACCTGTGTTTATCATTGGTTTCTCTTACCTGTGTTTATCATTGGTTTCTCTTACCTGTGTTTGTTCTAGTTTCTCTTACCTGTATTTATCATTGGTTTCTCTTACCTGTGTTTGTTCTGGTTTCTCTCACCTGTCTTACTTATGTTTGTCCTAGTTTCTCTCACCTGTCTTACTTATGTTTGTTCTAGTTTCTCTCACCTGTCTTACTTATGTTTGTCACAGTTTCTCTCACCTGTCTTACTTACATTTGTCCTAGTTTCTCTCACCTGTCTTATTTATGTTTGTTCTAATTTCTCTCACCTGTCTTACTTTTGTTTGTTCTAATTTCTCTCACCTGTCTTACTTATGTTTGTCCTAGTTTCTCTCACCTGTCTCACTTATGTTTGTCCTAGTTTCTCTCACCTGTCATACTTATGTATGTCCTAGTTTCTCTCACCTGTTTCATTTATGTTTGTCCTAGTTTCTCTCACCTGTCTCACTTATGTTTGTCCTAGCTTCTCTCACCTGTCATACTTATGTTTGTCCTAGTTTCTCTCACCTGTCTCATTTATGTTTGTCCTAGTTTCTCTCACCTGTCTTACTTTTGTTTGTTCTAATTTCTCTCACCTGTCTTACTTTTAATTGTTCTAAATTCTCTCACCTGTCTTACTTTTGTTTGTTCTAATTTCTCTCACCTGTCTTACTTTTGTTTGAGCTAGTTTCTCTCACCTGTCTTACTTTTGTTTGTTCTAATTTCTCTCACCTTACTTTTGTTTGTTCTAATTTCTCTCACCTGTCTTACTTTTGTTTGAACTAGTTTCTCTCACCTGTCTTACTTTTATTTGAGCTAATGCTAATTTCTCTCACCTGTCTTACTTTTGTTTGTTCTAATTTTTCTCACCTGTCTTACTTTTGTTGAAGCTAATGCTAATTTCTCTCACCTGTCTTACTTTTGTTTGAGCTAATTTCTCTCACCTGTGTCCGTTCTATCTTTCTTCCCTGTCTTATGTGTGCTTTTTTGTCCTAATTTCTCTCACCTGTCTTACTGTGTTTGTCCTAATTTCTCTCACCTGTTTCACTGTGTTTGTCCTAGTTTCTCTCACCTGTCTTACTGTGTTCTCTCACCTGTCTTACTGTGTTTGTCCTAATTTCACTAACCTGTCTTACTGTGTTCTCTCACCTGTCTTACTGTGTTTGTCCTTATTTCACTAACCTGTCTTACTGGTTTTGTCCTAGTTTCTGTCACCTGTCTTCCTGTATTTGTCCAAGGTTCTCTGACCAGTCTTACCCATATTTTTTCTAAGCTTCTCTCACCTGTCTTACCTATGTTTGTTTTTCCTAGTTTCTCTCACCTGTCTTACCTATGTTTGTTTTTCCTAGTTTCTCTCACCTGTCTTACCTATGTTTGTTTTTCCTAGTTTCTCTCACCTGTCTTACCTATGTTTGTTTTTCCTAGTTTCTCTCACCTGTCTTACTTTTGTTTGTTCTAATTTCTCTGACCTGTCTTACTTATGTTTGTCCTAGTTTCTCTCACCTGTCTCACTTATGTTTGTCCTAGTTTCTCTCACCTGTTTCATTTATGTTTGTCCTAGTTTCTCTCACCTGTTTCATTTATGTTTGTCCTAGTTTCTCTCACCTGTTTCATTTATGTTTGTCCTAGTTTCTCTCACCTGTCTCACTTATGTTTGTCCTAGTTTCTCTCACCTGTTTCATTTATGTTTGTCCTAGTTTCTCTCACCTGTCATACTTATGTTTGTCCTAGTTTCTCTCACCTGTCATACTTATGTTTGTCCTAGTTTCTCTCACCTGTCATACTTATGTTTGTCCTAGTTTCTCTCACCTGTTTCATTTATGTTTGTCGTAGTTTCTCTCACCTGTCTCACTTATGTTTGTCCTAGCTTCTCTCACCTGTCTCACTTATGTTTTTCCTAGTTTCTCTCACCTGTCTTACCTATGTTTGTTTTTCCTAGTTTCTCTCACCTGTCTTACCTATGTTTGTTTTTCCTAGTTTCTCTCACCTGTCTCACTTATGTTTGTCCTAGTTTCTCTCACCTGTTTCATTTATGTTTGTCCTAGTTTCTCTCACCTGTCTCACTTATGTTTGTCCTAGCTTCTCTCACCTGTCTCACTTATGTTTTTCCTAGTTTCTCTCACCTGTCTTACCTATGTTTGTTTTTCCTAGTTTCTCTCACCTGTCTTACCTATGTTTGTTTTTCCTAGTTTCTCTCACCTGTCTTACCTATGTTTGTTTGTCCTAGTTTCTCTGCTGTTTCCTGCAATAACTGCTCCACAATGTCTGGATCATCTATCTGAACCTCGGACACCATGTTACAGGGAATATAGCCCAACCGGCCCAGACTTTCTCCCTTGTAGAATCCATCAGCGTCTTTGTCACCGAACACTTTCAATATCTGTCCTTCTCGAAATGGAAGCTCTTCATCAATGGAGTCCACGTTTGGGGACATAGTCACTGGGTCATAATCAAATAAAGCGATGAATAATCGTACAGTGTTTGCATCCACGGTTGTGTTGATTTCCCCAGAAATAGAGTCAGTATCTCCAGCATCCTCCAGTGGACTGATGGGGGAGGGAAGGAACCCTGCTGCATGTTTTCTGTGCTCAGAGCTGGTTTCTGACCATGGCTTGACATGTTTGTGATGAGAGTTCTGGCTGTCAGGCGCTGGTCTAGAATCAGCAGTTGCAGCTTGAGACCGATGGCTGATTGTTGGCTGCGTTCTGGGGACCCTGTGTTTATCAACAGTCTCCCCCTCTACTATCCCTCCTGACGGGTGAGCCAACTCTGGATTGTCTTTGTGCCGAGTCTGATCCACATGTCGAAAAGCACTTGGGTTTTGAGCATCTCCAAAACTGGCTGAAATACCAGCATCAGGCACACGGACTTTCCCAGGCACATTGGTTGGTGTGCTGTGTGTGGAAGGGGTATTACTGTCATCAATATCTTCATCAGCCGATGTGCCTCTCTCTGTACTACTGTCTCTGATGATCTCTGCAGGGATGACACCACAAACTGTTACAGATGACAATATCCTCACAGGGCACAGGGATGACACCACAAACTGTTACAGATGACAATATCCTCACAGGGCACAGGGATGACACCACAAACTGTTACAGATGACAATATCCTCACAGGGCACAGGGATGACACCACAAACTGTTACAGATGACAATATCCTCACAGGGCACAGGGATGACACCACAAACTGTTACAGATGACAATATCCTCAAGACACACAGGGGGCAGGGATGACACCACAAACTGTTACAGATGACAATATCCTCAAGACACACAGGGGGCAGGGATGACACCACAAACTGTTACAGATGACAATATCCTCAAGACACACAGGGGGCAGGAATGACATCACAAACTGTTACAGATGACTAAATCCTCAAGACACACAGGGGGCAGGAATGACACCACAAACTGTTACAGATGACAATATCCTCAAGACACACAGGGGGCAGGAATGAGACATACAACATTACAAACAACAATATCCTCAAGTCTCACAGGGGTCAGGAATGAGACATACAACATTACACACAACAATATCCTCAAGACACACAGGGGGCAGGAATGAGACATACAACATTACACACAACAATATCCTCAAGACACACAGGGGGCAGGAATGAGACATACAACATTACACACAACAATATCCTCAAGACACACAGGGGGCAGGAATGAGACATACAACATTACACACAACAATATCCTCAAGACACACAGGGCGCAGGAATGAGACATACAACATTACACACAACAATATCCTCAAGTCTCACAGGGGTCAGGAATGAGACATACAACATTACACACAACAATATCCTCAAGACACACAGGACGCAGGAATGACACCACAAATTGTTACAGATGACTAAACCCTCAAGACACACAGGGGGCAGGAATGAGACATACAACATTACACACAACAATATTCTCAAGTCTCACAGGGGGCAGGAATGAGACATACAACATTACAAACAGCAATATCCTCACAGGGCACAGGAATGACACCACAAATTGTTACAGATGACTAAACCCTCAAGACACACAGGGCGCAGGAATGAGACATACAACATTACAAACAACAATATCCTCAAGTCCTACAGGGGGCAGGAATGAGACATACAACATTACAAACAACAATATCCTCAAGTCCCACTGTGGGGCAGGAATGAGACATACAACATTACAAACAACAATATCCTCAAGTCTCACAGGGCGCAGGAATGACACCACAAATTGTTACAGATGACTAAACCCTCAAGACACACAGGGGACAGGAATGAGACATACAACATTACAAACAACAATATCCTCAAGACACACAGGGGGCAGGAATGAGTCATACAACATTGCACACAACAATATCCTCAAGCCCCACTTGGAGTATAAACAATGACAGGAATTAACACTCTTTATTACAAATCTGATAAACAGGCTTTTAAAAATGAGCAAGAAGTAGATGTAAAAATGACCTTCACAACAAGGTAGTTATGTCACAAGAGTAGAAAGACAGAGAAATGAAGACTGAACACTGGGAAAAATCAATAAAAATGAAGACAGAACACTGGGATAAATCAATAAAAATGAAGACAGAACACTTGGATAAATCAATCAAAATGAAGACAGAACACTTGGATAAATCAATCAAATGAAAACCTATTGAGGTTTTTTTTCTTTTCAGGGTCAGCAATTCAATTGGAAGCCACACAACCAAACATGTTCTCACACTATCAAACATGCACCTACATCACCACACATGTTTCCACCACACATGTGCCCACACAACCAAACATGTTCTCACACTATCAAACATGCACCTAAACCATCACACATGTTCCCATGATACCACACATGTGCCCACACAACCAAACAAGTTCCCACAACACCACACATGTGCCCACACAACCAAACATGTGCAGGCACAACCAAATATGTTTCCACACAACCAAACAAGTTCCCACAACACCACACATGTGCCCACATAACCACACTTATTCCTACACATCCCCGTGCCCGCACAAACAGACACACCCCCCACACCACCACACACATGCCCACACAACCAGCTCACCTATTGCAGGGACTATCCTAGCAGGTGCCGCCAGCAGTTTGCCTGAGCCTATTGTTGGTTTCTGAGCATGGAACTCCTTTGGGCCAGCATCCACGGCACTGGGCACCAACTTTCTGGGGGCTGGCTGCGGGGAACCTTTCTCAACCTACACAAGAGATGAACATATCAGAATTCTTGAAATAAGTGCTTGCTGTGTTTTTGGTAATCTACAATTCACATCTAAACAATGAAATCTGTTCAACTCTCATTTCCTGCTGGAGCATAGGAGTTGAACCAATTTGAGCCAAGTCTTTTGGGGACTTGTTCATGACTAATAGTGAAGCTACAGTTGTACAGCACAGTCTCAAGCCAACCCTCCTCAGTTGCCTGTATGACATGTATGGCAGGTGACAGTGTAACTATTCTTCACTTCCATGTTGGGCCCCAGCAACACGTGGCCCTTGTATACATAGTGCCAGTGCAATATTTGTATGGCTGATCTGGCACTCAGTCAGTGATTGTAAAATATGCTGGCTGCATTATTTCCAACAAAATTTGCTGGTAACTCATGTAAGACTGGCCTGGATCAGTAAGCAACTGTGCTAGTCATTGACCGTACTCACAGACTGCCAGAAAATATCTCTGTCAATAAATATGCAGGTATGACAAAACTATAGCTGAATAAAGAAGTAAGAAACAAAGGTGAGCCTCTCTGAGTTTGGGTGTGCAGATAAACAGAAAGCATGACAAGCAGTAAGCCGAACACTCTTGCCAATAATGTGCATGGGTGTTGACTATTGCACAGACTTGCTGCCCACAACTCAGAGAACAGGTGTTAATGTTGTGTCTGTGATCTGATGCAGGTACTCAAGTCAAGCTTCAGTAAGCACTAGTCTGACCACAAATACATCTGTCATTGAGGAGCATCACATACAGGCTGCACAAAGCAAACACAGGGAATGGTAACAGACAAAACATCCATTGTAGCACCATTGTAGCACCATTGTAGCACCATTGTAGCACCATTGTAGCACCATTACAACCCACACACTAGATGTCGGGACAGCAGAAGATAAGTTTAGTCAACACATCTTCTAAACATTCATCAATTTTTTGACATTATAATATTTTCTACTTCATCAGTAGCAATATTGATCCAATCAGGATATTTGAATAAACATTTTACATGTAATAATATGGTCACTGGACTTTCAGCAAAGTTTCTAGATGTAGGAAGCAACTGTTGCCATGACAATCATGAAGGTTGTGTATAATGTATAGACCAATCAGCACACAGAAGTCTGGGCCATGCATACTGAGCATGTCATGTGGATGGTGAGTGGGTGGAGTCAAGCAGGATGTGTCTGCTTTGTAAACCAGTAAACACAGGAAGGCTAGTACTATGCATTGTGTGTTTGATTTCAAGTCAATAAACATAGAAATTTGAGACCAGTGTCCTGAAGATGATTGACAAAATAAATTAGCACAGAGAACGTGAGATCATGTACAGTGTTCATAATCTAGGGACCAGTGTCTTCAACAGGACCAGTCAGCAGTCACTAGCCTGAGATCATGTACAGTGTTCATAATCTAGGGACCAGTCAGCAGCCACTAGCCTGAGATCATGTACAGTGTTCACAATCTAGGGACTAGTCATCAGTCACTAGCCTGTGATCATGCAAATTGGTCATGGCTTGTAAGTAAGCAAACATACACCACTGCACAATTCAATCATGAGACTGGTTTTATTCTGGTCAAGACAAACAAGAAAAGCACATCAACTAAGCAAACAACATTCATCTAGGATAAGACAAAACTGCAAAGCACCTGGTCAGCAGGTGTCAGTAACTTGCCATTCTATTTAACTAGTGAAAGGAGCATAGTTACGTATGCATCATGGAGCAGATATTAGTGACGATCATCATCACAGAACTCCAGGTAGATCCACAGGTACTCTGACCTTCTCCTCAAAAGCTCCCCAAGCATAAAACAACTGATGACACCTGCTCTGTACTGATTATTCAAACATTCTGTCATGTGGTGAAATGATCATTTCCTGCAGCTCCAGACTGCAGCCCTATGTCCATCAGCCTAGACTTGGATACAGAGTCATGTCCTTTACCGTATCTGTCTTTGCATTAAGTGCTGTGCCTGACACTGATAACATCACTTCTGTCCGGTACCACACCAGCAACTGCAGTGTCTGCAAGATCATCTGCAAGTTCGTTACCTCAAACACCCGCATGACCTGGCACAAAGATAAAGGTTAGATGGGCCATCCAGAAAGTGTTAAGTGGTGGGATCCATTCTTGCCTGATGTACCCAGGCTTGATCTTCTGAAGCATATTCACTGTATGCAACAAAGAGCCAATATTAGATGCTCTTGTAAACTTGGAATAAGTGCAACTGAGACAGTTGAGCAGAAGATAACAACAAACGATAGATCAATGTTTATCTTGTGCACAGATATTCATGTGGTATTTGTGAATAAGTCTTTAATTATTATTTGTCTTTTGAACAAGTCTCATTATTTAATTGTGAGAAAGTGTACAGTAAGTAAAACCCTGATAACTGAACATGGTTTGTTGACTAATCAGCACACAGCAAACAGTGTACAGTGAGTGTAACCATGACAACTGAACATGGTGTGTTGACCAATTAGCACACAGCAAACAATGTACAGTGAGTGTAACCATGACAACTGAACATAGTGTGTTGACCAATCAGCACACAGCAAACAATGTACAGTGAGTGTAACCATGACAACTGAACATGGTGTGTTGACCAATTAGCACACAGCAAAGTGTAAATAAGCTGTGATTTAAAAAAAAAAAAAACCATTAAAAACATCCTAAAATCATAAAGAAAAAGCACAAGAAAGCATTCATGCACTAGCAGGCTACTGAAGACGATGGTTAAAGAATGACACAGATGGTGCAAACAAGATGACAACACATCAACAAAACCTGTGATCAAACATCTGGACAGGAACCACATCAACAAAACATGTGATCAAACACCTGGACAGGAACCACATCAACACAACCTTGGATCAAACAAATGGACTGGAACCACATCAACACAACCTTGGATCAAACAAATGGACTGGAACCACATCAACATAACAATGGATCAAACAAATGGACTGGAACCACATCAACATAACCTTGGATCAAACAAATGGACTGGAACCACATCAACACAACATGTGATCAAACACCTGGACAGGAACCACATCAACAAAACATGTGATCAAACACCTGGACAGGAACCACATCAACACAACATTCGATCAAACAAATGGACAGGAACCACATTAACACAAACTTGGATCAAACAAATGGACTGGAACCACATCAACACAACATTGGATCAAACAAATGGACTGGAACCACATCAACACAACCTTGGATCAAACAAATGGACTGGAACCACATCAACATAACCTTGGATCAAACAAATGGACTGGAATCACATCAACACAACCTTGGATCAAAAAAATGGACTGGAACCATATCAACACAACCTTGGATCAAACAAATGGACTGGAACCACATCAACATAACCTTGGATCAAACAAATGGACTGGAACCACATCAACACAACATGTGATCAAACAAATGGACTGGAACCACATCAACAAAACCTGGGATCAAACAAATGGACTGGAACCACATCAACACAACATGTGATCAAACACCTGGACAGGAACCACGTCAACAAAACATGTGATCAAACACCTGGACAGGAACCACATCAACACAACATTCGATCAAACAAATGGACAGGAACCACATTAACACAAACTTGGATCAAACAAATGGACTGGAACCACATCAACAAAACATGTGATCAAACACCTGGACAGGAACCACATCAACACAACATTGGATCAAACACCTGGACAGGAATCACATTAACACAAACTTGGATCAAACAAATGGACTGGAACTACATCAACAAAACATGTGATCAAACACCTGGACAGGAATCACATCAACACAACATTGGATCAAACACCTGGACAGGAATCACAACAACACAACCTTGGATCAAACAAATGGACTGGAACCACATAAACCCAATACTGGATCCTACGACTGGACTGGGACCACATCAACCCAACATTGGATCCTACGACTGGACTGGGACCACATCAACCCAACATTGGATCCTACGACTGGACTGGGACCACATCAACCCAATACTGGATTCTACGACTGGACTGGGACGAGATTTTTGGGGGTTCTCTGAACTGTATTTCCCTGTCAACACAGCCTAATACCGGCATCAGGAAATTCTATGGGAAGTAAAAATGGCCAACAAGATAATGACCCTGTTCACTTAGCACTGATTCTCTCATTTACAGAGGCAAGAACAGATACCACAACAGCCTGGTGGCATCAACAGGGATCCGCTGCCTCATGCATCAAACAACAATATAAAACAATTCTTTGATGAAATTAATGGCTGCATGCTCACAAAATATTTACAGAATAGCAAGGCATAAACCCTTCCACCCTGGTGATCTTTGATAAAACCCTTCCACCCTGGTGATCTTTGATAAAATCCTTCCACCCTGGTGATCTTTGATAAAACCCTTCCACCCTGGTGATCTTTGATAAAACCCTTCCACCCTGGTGATCTTTGATAAAACCTTTCCACCCTGGTGATCTTTGATAAAACCCAAAGCAAAGCTCCCAATATTTTTTTTTTTTGTTTTTTTTTTTGGAAATTTCCTCCCTCAGCCCCAACAAATAATTCTTAGAAAAAACGTGTTTTCAAATGTCACAGACACAAAACTGCACAAAATCAATGTTCATGCAACAAATATAATAGAGAGTTAGGAGAGTAATCAATGACAACAAATGCAGCATACTGTCGACTGGCTAACATCTCTTGGGGACTATCAACTATTGATAGCGTGACACTCCATCACCCACTAATCACTTTAGCCGATGGCAATAACTGGGTGTAGACTGTCTATAAAGAAAGCCATCTGTTTCTACAGGAACCCCTCTCTACTAAATACGATTTTTAATTAACTGAGGGCTCCTTTGTCAACCAAAATCATCCTGCAGATGCAGACGCAATTTATTTTATGAGCATGATGTCTTGTAAACAAGACCATAGCATCAGGGAATTGGCTGTTACGGGGAAAAGGTACCAACTGGAAGTGTTAGTTCTGTGGCTTCTCAGGTCAAAGGTTAACAGAACTCAGTCACATGAGCAACACTGAACAGAAATGTCTACAACAATGAGGATTTCTATGATAAACAGTAAACAATATGCATTAAAGGGGAAATGACAACAAAAACCCACTCTTTGGGACACTTCACAATCGTTTCCAGAGTCACATAACAGAACAGGACACACTTACAGCAGCAAAATGCAATCCAACATCTTTCAGTGAGTTTTAAAAACAAAATCCAGTGGGGGAGGAGAGAAGAGACATACTCCTATGTGACAAATCTAACTGGCTTGTGAAAAGTCACCTGACTAGGATAATTCGTCTGATTGGTCAGCCTGCTGCTGACCTCACTAACACGGGGATCCTGGCAAGCAATGAGATCCTCTTCCACTTCGGGAATATCTGAGAGCTCTGAGCTGCTGGACTCGCAATAGGGCTCGCTAACCGCACTTATTCTCTTGTGCTACAAAGTTGGAAGTACAAAAACGCAAGCATATACAACAACATGATCAACAGCAGATGCAACAGAAGCACAACTGCATCAATGAATAAATCAAGAGATGTTTACAACACAATATCTATATGTATCCAGCATTCAGTTGTAACATACAGTCTCAATGGTATATATATATATATATATATATATATATATATATATATACACACACAAAATCACGACAACTATCACACACTACATGGCTTCTATACAAGTGATACCATTTTTACTACTGTGGCAATCTGTTAGTTCAACTAATGTAGTATACTGACTTCTACAAAAGTGATACAATTTTACTACTTTGGCATTCTGTTAGTTCAACTAATTTAATATATTGACTTCTACAAAAGTGATACAATTTTACTACTGTGGCAATCTGTTAGTTCAACTAATGTAGTATACTGACTTCTACAAAAGTGATACAATTTTACTACTTTGGCATTCTGTTAGTCCAACTATTGTAATATATTGACTTCTACAAAAGTGATACAATTGCACTGCTGTGGTATTCTGCTGTGGTATATATGTTTACTATCATCATATGAGTTTTACAATGTACTGATGATACTATTCTGAGATGATACTCTCCCGTGTTTACTAATGTGATCATACCACCAAAACTGCCAGTACCTGTAGGTACTTACCACTCTTGCACTAACTCTACCTTGTGATATCCTACTGCACTGACTACAGCAGCCTACTATTACTTTGACTACTGCTACACTCAATTACTTTGATTACTGTGACACTCTATTACTTTGACTACTGTAATGCTCCATTACTTTGACTACTGTAATGCTCCATTACTTTGATTACTGTGACACTCTATTACTTTGACTACTGTGACGCTCCATTACTTTGATTACTGTGACACTCTATTACTTTGACTACTGCTACACTCAATTACTTTGATTACTGTGACACTCCATTACTTTGACTACTGTGACGCTCCATTACTTTGATTACTATGACACTCCATTACTTTGACTACTATGACATTCCATTACTTTGATTACTGTGACACTCTATTTCTTTGATTACTATGACACTCCATTACTTTGATTACTGTGACACTCTATTACTTTGACTACTTCTACACTCCATTACTTTGATTACTATGACACTCCATTACTTTGATTACTATGATGCTCCATTACTTTGATTACTATGACACTCTATTACTTTGACTACTGTGACGCTCCATTACTTTGATTACTGTGACACTCTATTACTTTGACTACTGCTACACTCAATTACTTTGACTATTATGACACTCTATTACTTTGACTACTATGACACTCCATTACTTTCACTACTAGGTCTATTTCTGTGACATTATATTTCTTTGACTACTGTGACATTCCATTACTTTTACTGTGACATTCTATTACACTGACTACTGTGACATTCTATTACTCTGACTACAGTGACATTTTACTACTTTGAATACTGTGACATTATATTACTTTGACCACAGTGATATTATATTACTTTGACTACTTTGACATTCCATTACTTTGACTACTGTGACATTCCATTACTTTGACTACTGTGACATTCTAATACTTAGACTACAGTGACCTTCGATGACTTCCACTAACCAGATATGTTGCTGATCTACTTCTGGATATTGTTATTGCTACTTCTGTGATGTATTGTTATTGTTACTTATGTGATGTATTGTTTTTGCTACTTCTGTGATGTATTGTTTTTGCTAACTCTGTGATGTATTGTTATTGCAACCTCTGTGATGTATTGTTTTTGCTAACTCTGTGATGTATTGTTTTTGCTAACTCTGTGATGTATTGTTATTGTTACTTCTGTGTTGTATTGTTAATGTTACTTCTGTGATGTATTGTTATTGCTACCTCTGTGATGTATTGTTATTGCTACCTCTGTGATGTATTGTTATTGCTACTTCTGTGATGTATTGTTATTGCTACTTCTGTGATGTATTGTTATTGTTACTTCTGTGTTGTATTGTTAATGTTACTTCTGTGATGTATTGTTATTGCTACCTCTGTGATGTATTGTTATTGCTACTTCTGTGATGTATTGTTATTGCTACTTCTGTGATGTATTGTTATTGCTACTTCTGTGGTGTATTGTTATTGCTACTTCTGTGATGAATGCTTTATGAATGCGAAACAATAACTCCAGCAAGGTGGTTAATTCTGCTATCTCCTAATGTGGTGAATGATTATGTCAAACTAATGTGATGTGACACACAACTAATGCACATGGTTCATCTTCCCCTGTTGTGGTGAATGATTATGTCAAACTAATATGATGTGACACACAACTGATACACATGTTTCATTTTCCCCTGTTGTGGTGAATGATTATGTCAAACTAATGTGATGTGACACACAACTGATACACATGTTTCATTTTCCCCTGTTGTGGTGAATGATTATGTCAAACTAATATGATGTGACACACAACTGATACACATGTTTCATCTTCCCCTATTGTGGTGAATGATTATGTCAAACTAATGTGATGTGACACACAACTGATACACATGTTTCATCTTCCCCTGTTGTGGTGAATGATTATGTCAAACTAATGTGATGTGACACACAACTAATACACATGTTTCATCTTTCCCTGTTGTGGTGAATGATTATGTCAAACTAATGTGATGTGACACACAACTGATACACATGTTTCATCTTCCCCTGTTGTGGTGAATGATTATGTCAAACTAATGTGATGTGACACACAACTAATACACATGTTTCATCTTCCCCTGTTGTGGTGAATGATTATGTCAAACTAATGTGATGTGACACACAAATGATACACATGTTTCATCTTCCCCTGTTGTGGTGAATGATTATGTCAAAACTAATGTGATGTGACACACAACTAATACACGTTTCATCTTTCCCTGTTGTGGTGAATGATTATGTCAAACTAATGTGATGTGACACACAACTGATACACATGTTTCATCTTCCCCTGTTGTGGTGAATGATTATGTCAAACTAATATGATGTGACACACAACTAATACACGTTTCATCTTTCCCTGTTGTGGTGAATGATTATGTCAAACTAATGTGATGTGACACACAACTGATACACGTTTCATCTTTCCCTGTTGTGGTGAATGATTATGTCAAACTAATGTGATGTGACACACAACTAATACACACGTTTCATCTTCCCCTGTTGTGGTGAATGATTATGTCAAACTAATGTGATGTGACACACAACTAATACACATGTTTCATCTTCCCCTGTTGTGGTGAATGATTATGTCAAACTAATGTGATGTGACACACAACTAATACACATGTTTCATCTTTCCCTGTTGTGGTGAATGATTATGTCAAACTAATGTGATGTGACACACAACTGATACACATGTTTCATCTTCCCCTGTTGTGGTGAATGATTATGTCAAACTAATGTGATGTGACACACAACTAATACACATGTTTCATCTTCCCCTGTTGTGGTGAATGATTATGTCAAACTAATGTGATGTGACACACAAATGATACACATGTTTCATCTTCCCCTGTTGTGGTGAATGATTATGTCAAACTAATGTGATGTGACACACAACTAATACACGTTTCATCTTTCCCTGTTGTGGTGAATGATTATGTCAAACTAATATGATGTGACACACAACTGATACACATGTTTCATTTTCCCCTGTTGTGGTGAATGATTATGTCAAACTAATGTGATGTGACACACAACTGATACACATGTTTCATTTTCCCCTGTTGTGGTGAATGATTATGTCAAACTAATATGATGTGACACACAACTGATACACATGTTTCATCTTCCCCTATTGTGGTGAATGATTATGTCAAACTAATGTGATGTGACACACAACTGATACACATGTTTCATCTTCCCCTGTTGTGGTGAATGATTATGTCAAACTAATGTGATGTGACACACAACTAATACACATGTTTCATCTTTCCCTGTTGTGGTGAATGATTATGTCAAACTAATGTGATGTGACACACAACTGATACACATGTTTCATCTTCCCCTGTTGTGGTGAATGATTATGTCAAACTAATGTGATGTGACACACAACTAATACACATGTTTCATCTTCCCCTGTTGTGGTGAATGATTATGTCAAACTAATGTGATGTGACACACAAATGATACACATGTTTCATCTTCCCCTGTTGTGGTGAATGATTATGTCAAACTAATGTGATGTGACACACAACTAATACACGTTTCATCTTTCCCTGTTGTGGTGAATGATTATGTCAAACTAATGTGATGTGACACACAACTGATACACATGTTTCATCTTCCCCTGTTGTGGTGAATGATTATGTCAAACTAATATGATGTGACACACAACTAATACACGTTTCATCTTTCCCTGTTGTGGTGAATGATTATGTCAAACTAATGTGATGTGACACACAACTGATACACGTTTCATCTTTCCCTGTTGTGGTGAATGATTATGTCAAACTAATGTGATGTGACACACAACTAATACACACGTTTCATCTTCCCCTGTTGTGGTGAATGATTATGTCAAACTAATGTGATGTGACACACAACTAATACACATGTTTCATCTTCCCCTGTTGTGGTGAATGATTATGTCAAACTAATGTGATGTGACACACAACTAATACACATGTTTCATCTTTCCCTGTTGTGGTGAATGATTATGTCAAAACTAATGTGATGTGACACACAACTGATACACATGTTTCATCTTCCCCTGTTGTGGTGAATGATTATGTCAAACTAATGTGATGTGACACACAACTAATACACATGTTTCATCTTCCCCTGTTGTGGTGAATGATTATGTCAAACTAATGTGATGTGACACACAAATGATACACATGTTTCATCTTCCCCTGTTGTGGTGAATGATTATGTCAAACTAATGTGATGTGACACACAACTAATACACGTTTCATCTTTCCCTGTTGTGGTGAATGATTATGTCAAACT